TTCTTAGGTTATAAAATGGTTTTCTTTATCAGCGTATCAGGTACCAGGTGGGAGTCCTGACCTGAGAGTAACAGAATGAATCTGCATCAGAGCATCACTATGTGCTCTCACAGCAACATTCCTCTGGGATATAGAACAATTTTGTATGAACTTGAGATAAAGATTCAGGTGTCCAGGAGATTCCAGTTTCAAGATCCAGGAGCTTGTGTTACTTGCAGTGCTGTATGCAGAGACTGGCAAGACGAACTGTGTGACTGGACATGCAGCTGGGAAAGGATAGAAGCATGGAGGGAATAGCCGCTGGTCTCTAAGAAGGACATAAAGAAACAAAGGTGGAAATATGTGGTTAACCCAGTCTACTTAGTTTTCTTTTGCAGAGCAGACAATCTAGTAATGTTAACGCTGGTGTCATTACACCACTGATTTTAATATCCTGTTTTCTACTGCAAAACAATTGTTTCAAAAATTGTTTACAAACCTGTAGATAAAGTGAGATCTGATTGGCCACCAGGCATCTGCGCTCCTGTCTTTTGAGCAGCATGAACAACCATGGAATGACTCATAGAAAAGATAAAGCCGTAATCCAGACTACCCTTTTATGAGGTACCTCATGGCCTCCAGCAGCTGAGTTTCAAATACCATCCCAGGCTTGTGCACCTTACCAGGCACTCATGACTAATTATTTAGAGTTAGCTTTAGGAATGTAAACTTGCCTCATGTGGCTAGTAAATGGAACACTTTCAGGGATCGTATTGGAGTTAATAACTAACTCATCTCACTGATTAAGAAAAAACACTAGCTTCCTGGGATGCAGAGTTAGGTGCTAGTGGAAGAGGCTATGTCCTCTTCTGCAATATCTACAATTAAGATAGATACAAATATAACAGTAATGTCTAAAAATCATTAAAACTTGAGAGGGGGAATTATTAGTGGGAAAATAACCGATATAAGAGTGATTGTGAAGTTAACTAATCTAAGGAAACAGTGGAACAGGTTCTCCAGAAAAAGACAGCTCCACTTACTAAATGAGCATAAGCAACATAGATTCCGTGAACAGTCAAGATACTCAAGAAACCCATAGCATTTATTAAACCCTCTTATAAATGCCAGCAGGTGATTCCTGTGCCCAAGCACCAATCACATGCACTTTAGGAGCAAGAAGAGAGTCCTACACAAATATTTTCAGAGCTAGAATATTCTTCGAGGTATGTGGTATCCTAGGATGCCAGACCAGCTATAGTGATCTGTCCCAGCAGTTCTTCCCCATCTGCTGCTCCTAGATCGCACGGGAGGCTCAAAGCATGTTGACCAGTTTGAAGCTTCCTACTTCTGTGGTAGGGATAACACTGATGAAGGTTTTGTAAAGAATCGCTCCTTTAGGTAGACGGCAGATCACCTCCCTGCTCTCGCTGCTGCGGGGCGGAGGTACATAGACCTCTTTGGTGTATCTCACAATGCCATCCTCCAGAGCATAAAGTGTCTTGTTACGGCCTATCCCCACCTGGAAGAGGACAAGCACACTGTTAGAAAGGAAAGGCTGGAGGTACACCGCAGAAGCAGATCTGATCATCAGACTGCCTTGTTTGATATCCTGGTTTCAAAAGCAGCTGCTGCTTTGTATTTTAGAATGAAAGAAAACCACATTGCTTTGCTTCCAGCAAACAGTAGGTAATGTTTTTTATTACAAGGGAGGAGATACCAATTCCACCCTTAAGTATACCCTTAAGAGCCCAATTAGGTTACAGAAGTCTTTCAGGATATTCATAACTCTCAGTCCTTTCCCAAGTCACATGGGCACAGATATGATTCTAAGCAGGCTTTGTGACTAAGAAATAGAAGGCAGTGAAACCAGTTTTCAGGATTACATGGAAAATTGGGGAGGAAATTAAGAACCAGCTTGTAAGAAGCAGCATTGACTACTGGACTCTGTTGTGGGCTGCTGCTGTCCTCTTGAGAACTGAGGAAGAGCTGGAAAAGCAACTTACATGAGCCCCTGGGTGCCAGCGTATCAACCGCTGCGTAGCCAAAGTGTTGCCTGCGTGCACAAATGTACCTGCAACAGAGTTGCACAGTCAGATTGCAGAGGAATGGAGCTCCCTGGAGCTCGCAGAATACAAACAGTTCTGGAACTTATAAAACCAGCTTTCTGTGAGATTTTTCTAAAGAAAAATGACTTCAAATTCCAAAAGCATCTAAACAAAAATGCTATTGGCAAGAAATAGAAGGCAATTGATACATAATGTCAAAGAGCAATTCTAATCTTTGAAAAGATTACTTGTAGGGCAGAAGGCATTTTCTGTTTGCTCAGGGCATTTGTTTTATTACCTCTTACATTGATCTGTTTTCATCAGCAAACCTACTAATTATTAAGCACTCAACTATAAGAATCTTGTACTTTGGCTTCTGCTAAGCCTCATAATTCTCCCCTTTGTAAACATCTAAAATGCCCAGCTTTTGAAAACAGCATGGGGTGAAAGTGCATTGGAGTTATCAGGTGCCCCACAGTGTACCCCTCCTCCCAGACTCTCTAGAGAGAGGCAAAGTTAGAATCAAAGTATGTTTTCTATAGGCAATTTCAGCTGGCTGCATGGAGGCCCACCTGAGAGGGAGGCTGACTCACCCTGCCCTCCTGCTGGTGACTGGTGTAATTATGGATGGTGAGGCTTTGCTCAAACTCCTGTTTCCTTTCTCTTCTTTTCACCTCCTTCTGAAACACTCAGCAGTTACACATCTAACAGCCGTAGCAGGGGATAACCTGTGGAGAACCCACTGTAACACACATAAGGCTACTAAGCAGATGCCTTTACCTACCATCTACTTTTTTGGCTCCATAGCGTTTCCCAGGGCTGCGGCCACCTAAATTTTTTGAGCTGCCTCCAGCTTTCTTAGAAGCACATCTCACAGCAACCAGGCTTGTTCGCGGAGCAGCTAGAACTAGATTCAGACCAAGAACAACAACAACAAAAATCTCAGCTGAAAAAAAATCTTAATACTCTTCCTTTAAATCTTGAAAAAAAGACTGTCAATCAGTATACGTTTTAAAGCTAGAGGCAAAAGAAAGCCCTGAGGGAAAATATTACTACAAAGGTATATCATGGATAGACCACTGTAGACTAAATCTTCTGCAAAGAGGCCACGTTTCAAGAACTGCTGCTACCCAGGGAAGAATAAAACTCTCAGCAATGATGTTAAAGGACATATACAAATTCATATTTCAGTAATGCCTTATAAATCCATGAGCTACAGAAGTTACTGGTTGCTATGGATTGGCCTTACATAGCTTTGAGAAAAGACAAATTGTGATCTGTGTTTTGGTCTCCCCTTCAACTGAATTGGATTTACTTAAACAGTCTCATCTATAAGACTACAAAATGTTAAGACTGCCATTCAGGAAAGTATGTAAGCATAAATATAGTTACTATCCTGAACAAAAACTAATTTAAGCATTTTATGCAGCTCCTTGAGTTACAATCAGGACAAGTCAAGGAAAAAGAAAGCAGTTATTACAGTAACCATTATCTCTGGAACACAAAATATCATTCACGCTACAAAGCTCTTTCTTAAAAGAGGAAAAGCACTTTTGAGTAAATACACTGATCTTCTTATCAAGAGAGCTGACCCTTCAGTGAACTTCTCTCTGTAAAAAAATGACTGAGATATAACAACTTCTTTTTACAAGTCTCTTTAGTTCCCTTTTACTTGCAGTTAGCAGCCATACCTAATTTTTTTTCTAAATCCAAATCTAAATTCAACCTCTTCAGCAGCAAGTTAGTAAAGAAGAGTAGCAGTCATAAAATTCTCATTTCCTTATTCAGAGTAGAAGCACTGAGTTAGTTTAATCTTAATTAAATTATCACAGATACTCAATGAGCTAAAATATCCCAGAGAGGAGGGAAATAGCTCTACAAAGAATGGTTAACTTTGATGCTTGATACTCACTGAGTACAAAAAAAAAAGCTGAGGCGTGACAAACTGCAGAGAAACGGGGAAAGATGGAAGGGGGTTTGCAGTTTCACATATACGCAAATTCTACTAAGTTAGAATCCAGTTAACTTTTATCAAAGAAAAAAAAACTGCAGTTGATTCCAAAGTTACATTTTGTGTTGAATGAAAAAAGCTGGCTAACCAAAAGTAAACCTCAATGCATCAAACATGGGGGGAAAGCAGTCTATCCACAGAGTGAAACAGCAAGGGACAGAGTTTGCAATTTAATAAAAATTACACTGGAAATCAACGCGGGAACTTCAAAACACTGACCTCCAGACAGAAATTATGACAGTATTCCTGACTATAACGTTTCTGAATAACAAAAGGGATTTCTAGGCCTCCTGCCTCTGGCAGTGCACAGGGATAGAGCGCCCCCCCTTGCTCTTTGATCTCCACACAGTAGAAATAAATAGCGTTTTTCCAAAATTGACTTTTTCCCCCTTGAGGACAGTCAAGCCGTGGAAGAGGCTGCCCAGAGGATTGGTGCAAGTCTCCATCCTTGGAGACCTTTGGAGACCAGAACGGAAAAAGCCCTGAGCAACTCGGCCTGAGCTCAGAGCTGGCCCTGTTTTGAGCAGGACGGACCGGCGACCTCCCGAGCTCCTCGACCACTGAGATCTCAACACCACCCCGTGACGGGGCAGCCGCCCGGATGCAGACACCGGGGCTGACGCCCTC